TACATATATATATATATATATATATAAAACAAAAGTTTTATTTAAAAAAGTTTTTATGGCTCCATCTTCACTCTTCAGAACTGTTCTCGAAGCCGATTTTGAGAATGAGCCCAGACCAGGTTTTTGAAGGAGAACGCTTCACTCTGACCTGCAGCAGTAATGTAATCTCCTCAGTGAAGATCGGAATAGCAGACATAAAGTATGTTCTGCTGAAAGATGGTCGACGCATTTCAGCAGTTGCAAAATATGAAGACACTGCAAGCCCCGCCACCAATGGGCAATACTATTGTATGGCAATGGCTAAAGAAGTTAACAAGACCAGCTCACCACATGATGTAAAAGCTAAAGGTGATGAGTTTATGCTTTTGTCAAAGCTCTGTCATTAGGGGACATGCATATTATCCATATTGTCTTTTTGACTTCTATAACATAGCACATTTTGTTATTGCTATGTTATAACACAATAATAACATAAGGTGTTTAATAAACTAGCTATATAGTCACTCCCAATGGTGCCAGTATACTACACTCTTAAAAATAATGGTTCCATAAGGGGATTTGTGTGGTGATGCAATAACACAATCATGTTGGGTTCCCCAAAGAATTGTTCAGTGAACAGTTCTTCTTTTTTCTTAGTGTGAAGAACATTTGAATAAACTAAAGAACCTTTTTCCACTATAAAGAACCTTTTGTGGAATGGAAAAGGAACTATGGGAGGAAATGAATCACGCAACGCATTTTACTAACGTTTGCGCTCGTCAAATTACTGGCATTTGCGCCATTATTTATCGCCAAAAAAAAGCATGTCTTAAACTATGCTTGAAATGGCTGCAATTATTGTTGCTAAGAGGAGGCACTGCAGAGAACAGAGAGCACGTGGTAGAAGGGAGAAGGGTTTTTCCACATGTATTCATTTATTTGTAATGCCAGAAAGACACATTATCCAAAAATATAATTTGCTTCAGGAAATAAAAGATTACTTGGAACCCTCAACTAGGAGTCACGCAAAACTAGCTCTATCAAAATAAATTTTTTGGCCTCCGGTTCTTTTCAACAAACTGGCTTCTTCATTTATTTATTCTTTAATTGTGACTACGCTAATTTGCGCTGCGCTTGGTATATTGCATTTATCGATATCTAAATGAGATGTCTGTGTTCTTTAATTAGCGTTTTGTTAGTAAATTTCCCCTCCCATCGGCGCTGTTTTGGAATTGCGCTCTCGCGCTAATTTGCCCTGTTTAGTAAAACTGGCCCCAAGTCTTCTGAAGTCATACAACAGTGTTATGTTACAGAAGCTGTTGTTATTCAATGATAATGTCACTGGAATCTCATTCCTGTTTACATTCAGTTAAACATGGCATGACATTAACTCCAAACACTATTGGCTCTCGCAAGTGTTGCATTGAAACACTTGTTTGAATGATGTCAAATGGTGAATCGGATTTTGCAACAGAGCTCATGATTTTCACTGAAAGGTGACTTCAGAACACTTATGGGCTTGTATTATTATACTTACATAAATAACAACAGAATTTTAACTTTTCTGTCTATCAGTACCCGTTTCCAGGCCAGTCCTGGAGCCAAAGGAGGTTACAGTCTCAGAGGGGTCAGATCTTATCCTCATCTGCCGTGTACAACAGGGAACTTACCCCATCACCTTCACCTGGTATCATAACAGAGTTATGCTCCTTTCCTCCATCCAAGAGGTCAGATCCTTAGAAGGAAGACATGTCGTCAAAGTCATCGAACGAGACCAGAGAGGCGACTACTACTGTGAGGCGTCCAATTACGCCTCTGAAACCAAAAAGAGTTATCCAGTCAGAATTGGTGGTACGTTTTTTAATTCAAACACCAGCTTACCATTTGTTCACTCTAAAGTCATAGTAGAGCTTCTATTGAACTGCAATGCTTACTCTGTTCAAGTACACAGATGCAGGTGATAAAGTTCCCTTTCGATACTTCACTCGTACTGCGTGCCTTCGCAGCTGGAATCAGGACCTCTCAGCTCAGCTGACCTGCTTCTCCCGCAATGCAGCAGTTCCGGTCCGGTTCCCCTGCCGCCATCCGGCGACTTCAAAGAGCTTCTAAAAGAGCAGTGG